GGTCCCTCCACAAATTGATATGTCAGACTTTGTTGACTCCACTTAAGAAGTCTTACCCTTTCTCAGGAATGGATGGGGGTCTGGGGTATTAAGGAATATGGGGGGATTGGCAGGAAGGGAATGAGAGGGAACTGGGATAGGTATGCAAAATGAGAAAATATCATTTAAAAATAAATTTAATTAAAAAATAAAAGAAGAACTGAAAGACTTCCTAAAATTCAATTAAAATGAATGTATAAATACCCAAACATGGGATACTATGAAAGTAGGGATAAGAGGAAAATTTATAGCACTAAATGACTACATAAAGAATTTAGACAATTCTCACACTATCAACTAAATAGCACAGCTGAAATCTCTAGAACAACAACAACAAAAATTTACCCAGGAGGAGTAGACACCAGGAAACAATCAAATTGAGGACTGTAATCAATATAATAAAAACAAAGAGAACAATACAAAGAATCAATGAGATGAAGAGTTGGTTCTTCAAGAAAATGAACAAGATAGACAAACACTTATCCAAAACAAACAAAAGACAGAAAGAGACAATATCCAAATTAACAAGATCAAAAATGAAAAGTAGGCATAACAATAGATATTGAAAAAAATCCAGAAAATCATGAAGTCATACATCAAAAACCTGTACTCCACAGAATTGAAAAATTTGAAAGAAATAGGCAATTTTTTGAACACATCACATGTCAAAATTAAAAGAACAGATAAATAATTTAAATACTTCTACAATACCCAAGGAAATATAAACAGTCACTAAAAGTCTCCAAAAGTCAAAAATGTCTAGGGCCAGATTGTTTCAGTGCAGAGTAATGAAAAAAGCTTGATTTTGGAAAAAAAAAAAAAACAGACACATGGAACAGTGGAATTGAATTGAAGACGCTGATATTAAGCCACACACATATGAACACCTGATTTTTGACAAAGAATCCAAAACTGTACAATGAAAAAATAAAAGCATCGTTAACAAATGGTGCTGGAATAACTGGACGTCAATATGTAGAAGATGGCAAGTACACCCATATATAGCCCCATGCACAAAACTCAAGTCCAAATGGAATTAAGACCTCATCATAAATCCAGTTACACTGAACCTGGTAAAAGAGAAGTTAGGGAGTAGTTTTGAACCCATTGGCACAGGAGACCACTGTAATATAACACTAGTAGCAAAGACACAAAGGAAAATTCAATAAACGGGACCTCCTGAAACTGAAAAGCTTCTGTAAGGCAAAGGACACAGTAAATAAAACAAAACAGCAGCCTATAGAAGGGGGAAAGATCTTTACCCACCCTACACATGACAGAGGGCTGATCTCCAAAATATATAAAGAACTAATAAAATTAGACACCAAAATACAAAATAATTCAATTTAAATAATATGGTACAGAGCTAAACAGAGTCTTCTCAACAGATGAATCTCAAATGACCGAACGACATTTAAAGAGTTGCCCAGCATCCTTAGTCATCAGGGAAATGCAAATCAAAACAACTCTGAGATAACATCTTACACCTGTTATTACGTCTGAGCTCAAAAACACCAGGGACAACTTCAGTTGGAGAGGATGTAGAGTAATGGGAATAGTTTTCCACTGCTGGTGTGAGGGCAAGCTTGTACACCTGATGTGGAAATCAGTATGATGATTTCTCAGAAAATTGGGAATCAATCTATCTGAAGACCCGGCAATACTACTCTTGGGCATACACCCAAGGGATACTCAATCATACCGCAAGGGTACCTGCTCAACTATGTTCAAAGAGGCATTATCTGCAATAGCCAAAACTTGTAAACAACCTGGATGCCCCTCAACTGACAAATGGATAAAGAAAATATGGTACATTTACACAATGGAGTAAAACTCAGCTGTAAAAGACAATGACATCAAGAAACTTGCAGGCAAATGGATGAAACTACAAAGTATTATCCCGAGTAAGGTAACCCAGTTCAAGAAATATAAACAAGGTTTGTATTCACTCATAAGTGGATCTAAAACAAACGGTAGCCTGATTACAATCCACCGCTCCAGAGAAGCTAGGTACCAAGGAGAACATAAGAGGGACACACAGAACGCCCTGGGAAGGGGAAATAGATGAGGTCTCTCTGTTAAACTGGGGCCAGGAGAGCTAGAGGGGAAGGGATGGGGGAAGAGAACATGAGGGAACGTCATGGGTGATGGCTGAGTTGGGGGAGGAACTGAGTGGGAGAGTGATGAAAGATATCTTGATAGAGAGATCCATTATTGGCTTAGGGAGAAACCTGGTGCTAGGGAATTTCCCAAGAATCCACAAGGATGACCCCAGCTAAGACTACTAGCAATAGTGGAGAGGGTGCCTGAACTGGCCTTCCCTTGTAATTAAAATGGTGACTCTCCTAACTGAACCTTCATCCAGTAACTGATGAAGGCAGATGAAGAGATTCACAGCCACGCACCAGGCCAAGTTCTGGGAGTCCAGTCGAAGCAGTCGAAGAGACAGATGAAGGGTTATATGAGCAAGGGAGCAGAGTCAAGATCATGACAGGGAAACTCAACAAAAATGTTCACCCGCGATTATGGGAATTCCGGACTCCAGACTGACAGGCCGGGAGCCTGCATGGGACTGCATGTGGGCAACAGTTGTGTAGCTTGATCTGTCTGAGCGGCCCCTGGCAGTGGGACCAGGAGCTATTCCTTGTGAATGAACTGGCATTTTGGACCCCATTCCATATGGTGGAATGCCTTTATCAGTCTTGATGCGGGGAGGGGGCTTGGGAGGACTCTATATGTCAGGCTTTGTTGACTCCCCATGGGATGCCTTTCCTTTAGGAGGAGTAGACGGGTGTGGGTTTGGGGGGGGAGGGGAGGTGGGAGCAGAAGGGAGGAGGGAGGGGAAATGAGGTTGGTATGTAAAATAAATGAAAAATTTAAAAGAAAATTGGAGATGTAAATAAATTTCATATTTGACCCTGACAAAATATTAACTTTCATTCCTCTATCCTCTATGAAGTAAAATAATATAGTTACTAAAGTCTTCCTTTTATGAAACTAAAACCAGGAAAATTAAATTATCTGTACAATTAGGTCACATCAATGAGCCAGGTGAAGTTATAGCAGATAGCATAATATTAATACATGAAAAATTCTCTCGAATACACTGTTTGTCTGTTTAACCTGTATGAAATACAAACCAGTGTGGCAATTTTGATATTCACACAAAATAAGCTAAAGCTAAATCCTATTTTAGGTTAATGTAGAATCTTTAGCTAGTGACTGAAGTAACGTTATTTGTTTGACAATGAATTTCTTCACTAAGAAATTTTCTTCTTCAGTGCGACTAGCAATCTTCAGCAATGTAGCCTATAACAGATTGCAAAGTTGTTTCCATTTCCATATAGATATTTTGATTTCACACTTTGCTCTTCAGTCTTCAAACCATTGAAATTGTAGGATCCTGAAACAATCCTTTAGCTAATGTTCAAAATAACTGCCATGCACTATTCATGTATAAAGAAAACATGCTTCTAAATGCACACACACATGTGTATATATGTGTTTATGCATATATGTTGATTGACAGTCGTTTAGTAAAGAAAAATTAGGGTTGGGAGAAAACAGATTGGAAAGAAATACAGATAACACAATGGACAGCAGGTCAACAAGTCAACATATTAAAATAGATTTATATGTGCTTTATACAAATAGGCCCTGTTTATTTTAGAATACAAAATTACCTTCACTTGTTCAAGTGTTTCTTTTAGCTGATGCTCATTTCCAACTGGAGTGTTAGCAATGTTATCTGCCTCTTCCAACCACAAAACAAATTCATTTAAATCTCTTTGAAATTCTGACAAGACGTTCTTTTGTTCTTCAATCCTGTAGAGAGAATAATAAAATTATTATTATTCAAGGCTTAAAAAAACAAACAAAGAGAAGCAAACATGATCATCGCACTTGTGTTTAAGAAACAAGCCATATAAGAAATATCCATAATATATGAATTATCTTTAAGAGTTTCATTCACTTTGAACAAAGTCATTTTAATATTTCAAATGCAGCAAAACTTGGACAAGAAATATTTTAAAATTCCATCAGCCTATGCTATTTCATTTGAGGAAGGCTCCACTATCTAGGCTGTGGTATCACTCAACCGTACAAAATTCTTGGTTGTGAGGGACTGTCCTAAAATACTGTATACTGTTTAGCAGCGTTTGTGGACAGGGTGTATGAGATTCCTAGCTGTTACAAACAGAATGTCTTGAGGCCTATTATTTCCTCCTGCCTGGAGGTGTGCAAATTTTTCTCTTCTGTAAAACTATTGCAGTAGTGAAAATAAATACTGTATAGCTTTATGTTTTATAAAAGGCCTCACTGAAGAAAATTTAATGACAAATTAAATGACAAAAGTAAAAGCAAGGGTATAAAATAAAAACAATATGCAAATGTTTCCAATCTATAACACAGTATTTTTTGAAGAGAGAAAAAAATAACAAAAATGGCTTCTAATTTATGATATCCTAGTGGATGTTTTAATAATATAAATGCACATGTTGCATAATCCTTACTTACCCATAAATTCATTTTCAGTTATTGAATTGGAAGTTATGGGCAGGCAGAATGCTTCATATTTAAAATGACTTAGTTTGCTTTTGTCCTCTTTTGGGAGATTTCATGGAAGCTTTTATTTGAAGTATAACATACATATAAGAATGTACATATATAATCTTATAGCTCAATGAAAATGGGGAACTTAGACTCACTATAGGGAGAAATAGTTTAAAAAGGTATCCTGCTTCCTTCTCATCACCAACTTCAAATGTATCAGTAATCTGTCACCTTGATCATTTCACTATGTAATCATTATTAAAGGTAATGATATCATATGTTGGCAATTGTGTCTTGATTTTTTAACTAAAATTTATGTTTATAATTCTACATATGTTTTGTTATTTATTCATTCTCTTAGATGCATAGTAATCATTAATATTAAGCAAGTGTCGATGAAAATTTGAGTTATTTCTATACTTTTAACATTTACTTAATAATTGATATATTTCACCAAGATAATGAATCTTTATTGATAATTTACTGCCTTAGAGGAAATATATTGTTAGAATTCATTTTATAATATACCTTATCTCTAGTATTTCCTATGGCATGAGAAGTACTATCAATGTTTTTTTAGTAGTCTTCTTTTCGCAGTTGTATTTGCTGGGAATTTTAAAATATGGATTTTTTTGCCCAGTTTTACTTAATATATAATATTTATCTATACAATCTACTTACTCTTACTCTCCTTAACTCTCAAATTTTCGTGTATTTCATTGTTTTCTTATCCATTTTTATTTATTTTTTATTATTATATATTTATTTATTAAAGGTTTCTGTCTCTTCCCCGCCACCGCCTCCCATATCCCTCCTCCTCGGAGGAGTATTTTGTAACTTTTCCTAGTTTACAAGACAGAAACTTTAGACATGAACTTTCATCTGAATTCTTAACAAGTCTAGACTGAGTGGCCCTTTGGGAAAATGTGGTTTATGGTTTGATTTTGTGCAATTTCTGAACATTTTCACTCTTCTTGATAATCACTGGTCTCTTCGTTGTGTTCTTCAAATATACTAGGTGGAATTGCTCTTTTCTCTGTCTTGAAAGTCTTTTCTTCAATTTCAAATGTAACTGTCCGTCACCTCACCTCAGTTTTCCATGAAAATCCTACTAAAAATTGTACTCGCCTCAATGTTTCTAATTTTTTTCCTTGTTTTTGGCTTTATATTTAGTTGCTAAGATTAGCATATTCCATCATTTGATTTTCCTTCACGTACTCTCCATCTCAAACACATGAAATAGTACTCCCTTAGGTTAAGGCTTTTTATGTGGTTATCTGCTACTATTATGCTTGCTTTCTGCCAATGTCTGGGCTAGAACAGAGGCATACTAAATACATGGTGAGTCAACAAATTAATGAGCTTAGCATTCTTTACAGTTTTCTTTGCCTTTCTGTCTTTAAAGAACCTTTCCATTTTTGAATTATGGATTGTAAAATCTGGTATAATTTATCTCCAATTTTATACTATAGTGTTTCATTTACTGACATATTTAACTAGAGGATATTCAGTATCATCATTCTGGGTATGACAAAATGGTGTTGGGTAGGTTGACACCACATAAAGGGTTGGAAAACCAACTTTATTTCTCTGACATATTTTTGTCACATGCCTCTTTTTGTTTATATGAGGAAAATACAAGTTAAATGAAGTATCACTGAAATATTTTCCAGTTTTGATTCTGTCTGTCCTGCATCCATTTTGCTTTGTATGCATGGGGAAAAATGGAGGTTTCTAGTTTTAGAATTACTGCTACTGTTGCTTTGATAAACCTTATAGGGAAATGGATTATCTCAGCTGCTGGTACTTTGTTTTAAAATGTGGGATAGGATTGTTTAATTTCAGACTCTGGTCTTAGATGAGAAGTTCCAAGTACAGAGTAAAATTTCAAACGCCTCTAGTAACTCTCAAATTATATGATTGCATGGTTACATTTTCTTCTTTTTTGGTAAATTTGACATACTTTATTCTCATAAAGCAAGGAACTGCATTGTACAAGCAATCTTCCTCCATTTCACTACCCCAAAATACTATTCAAATACAGGCAAAGAAAATTAGTTTAACTGAGCACAATAAAGATTTAATATGCTACCTTTATGACATATATGAATAAAGGGTTATACTGTGTGACTCACTGTTTCCCACTGAAGCTTGCATCTCTCCACTCTTTTTTTTAAATTTATTTGTTTATTAAAGATTTCTGTCTCTTCCCCGCCATCGCCTCCCATTCCCCCCCTCCTCCAACCAAGTCCCCCTCCCTCGTCAGCCCAAAGAGCAATCAGGGTTCCCTGCCCTGTGGGAAGTCCAAGGACCACCCACCTCCATCCAGGTCTAGTAAGGTGAGCATCCAAACTGCCTAGGCTCCCACAAAACCAATAGGTGCAGTAGGATCAAAAACCCATTGCCATTGTTCTTGAGTTCTCAGTAGTCCTCATTGTCTGCTATGTTCAGCGAATCCGGTTTTATCTCAGGCTTTTTCAGACCCAGGCCAGCTGGCCTTGGTGATTTCCCTATAGAACATCCCCATTGTCTCAGTGTGTGGGTGCACCCCTCATGGTCCTGAGTTCCTTGTTCGTGCTCTCTCTCCTTCTGCTCCTGATTTGGACCTTGAGATTTCTATCCGGTGCTCCAATGAAAGCACTTAATCATGGGGAGTGGTGGCGCAGGCCTCTGGAGACATAGGCAGACAGATTTCTACAAGTTTAACGCTACCCTGCTCTACAAAGTGAGTTTGAGGCTAGCCAGGGATGACACACAGAGAAACCTTGTCTTGATAAGCCAAAATAAATAACCAGTCAAGAATATAAATGTACTTAATCATAATAGTTAAAATTTACAAAGTTAATTGTGACAACGCACGATGAGTATTATTTACATATTTTCTTCATTTAATATGCTACTATGACAAGGGCTAGGTTTAGTCAAGTTGTAAAGCACTTGTATTATACATGTGGGATCGTGGGTTCAATCTCCGGATGTACAAACACACCAAAATGAAACTTAATTGTCTTAGATTATTAATTAACCTGAAAAAAATTAAGACTCTGAGTAATAATTCCTGGAGTTCTTTATATGTTTTGAAGATGAGCCCTCTGCCAGAGTAGAGTTGGTAAAAATCTTTTCCTATTGTGTAGGTTGCCATTTTGACAGTGTCCTTCGTCTTACAGAAAGAAGTTTTTCAGTTTCATGAGGTTCCGTTTATTAATTGTCAATCTTACCATCTCTGTTGCTGGCTTTCTGTTTGGGACGTTGTCTCCTGTTCCAATGCATTTACGACTGTTCCCCATTTTCTCTTCTATTGGGTTCAGTGTAACTGGATTTATGTTGAGGTCTTTGATCCACTTGGACATGAGTTTTGTGCAGGATGATAGGTATGGATCTATCTATATTCTTCTACATGCCAACATCCAGTTAGACTAGCACCATTTGTTGAAAATGCTTTCTTTTTTACATTGTATAGTTTTAAATTCTTTATAAAAAAATCATCTGTCCATAGGTGTGTGGATTTATATCATAGTCTTCGATTTAATATCATTGATTCACATGTTTGTTTTTCTGCCAATGCCATTCTGTTATAAATACTATAACTCTCTAGTAGAGCATGAAATCCGGGATCGTGATTCCTCCAGAATTTCTTTTTATTCTACAGGATTTATTTAGCTATTCTGTATTTATTTTTCTTCTAAACAAAGTTCAGTATTGTTTTCTAAAGGTCTGTAAAGAATTGTGTTGGAATTTTGAAGGGGTTTGCACTGAATTTATAGACTGGTTTTGATAAGATGGCCATTTTATGGTTTCTAGCAATAGTGGATACATAGACTGAACTAGTCATCTCCTGTGACTTGGCTTGACTTCTAATGGAGGAATTAGGACACCAACCCAGCTACACAACCTTTGACCTATAGTCTACCTTGCCTATGGGATATGTTGGGTTTAAGGTGGTGCGGAGACTATGGGAGTGACCAGCCAATGACTGGTACCGCATCAGACCCATACTATGAGAATGAGCCCACCCCATACAATGCCTGGAGTGCTAGAACCCAGAGTCTGGATGGCTCACACACAATTGAAAAAAAATAGCACAATGATGCTTATTGATATTCTACCATACTCAAAGATTGGTTACTACTGCAAATTGTCATCAGACAGACTTAAGTAACTGATAGAAACAGATGCAGAGACCCACAAGCAAACATTAGGCAGAGATCAGGAGATCCTACTGAAGAGAGGGAGGAAGGATTGTATAAGCTACAACAGTCAAGGACACCACA